TTGGTGTAGCTATCATGGGCACCATTCTCAAACAATTATTCTCTCTAGAATTTTTTCTTTTCAATTACAATATAGAACTCTTGAAACCCATTACGTCTTATGAACAATTAACAGAAATAAGTATAAATGTTCAGAGTTGTTCATGAATATGCAAAGTAAATACTTACAAGATAAGAATTTTAAATAAGAATAAATTTTGTCTAGAAAGTGTAATCTAGTCCTCAAATAAAAGTAAAAATTTTGTGATTATTTTAATGACAAAATTGTAAGCTCATTGTTTTCTATAGTTTAAAATAAGGTGCAACTAAATTAAAAATACTTTAAATGCCTTTGAACAAAATAGTTTTTGAGAAGCTAAAATGGTGGTAAATCCTGTCCAGAAAAGTCAGTAATTGGTATGAAATATTTAATAGCATATATGTTCTCCAATTTATGCAGCACAAACAGCAACCAACAAAGTAGAGAAAGCAAAAGGGAAATGAATGTTTCTTCAGTACAAACTATTTCATTTCGAAGAATCCGTCTTAAGGGCTATGTTCAACAGTTATCCTATGATGTCATGCCTTCCCACTTATTGGATTGGAAGGTTTCCTCTGCTGCCATGGCAACCCTTTTGAAAAGCCAGGACTCTGAGTTCAAGTAATCATAGACCATGACCAAGACAGGCATTTAGACAGGGAATCTGCCCGTCCTTGCATCCCACTGACTGGGCAAACGGCTTCCACTCAGGACACTGAAACACAACTGGTTCTGAACTCTCAGGACTAGCCCTTTCGTTTACAGCTGAGTTGTCCTGGTCCTGAGACTCATTAATGGCAGAGCAAGAATGAAGTCCGGGCCTCTTCCCAGGTCAGTAAGTGTTTAAAAGCGAGTTATCTTTGCTGTTTGAACTTTCTTCTCAAAAGTGATATGTGTGGAAAACCTGTAAATGTCAGAAATGATGGGGATCGATAATAATGCAAATACTTTTTAAGTAAATGGAGAGTGCTGGCCAATATGAGAAGTGGTGGCTGGACACGTGTGAAGCCAAATAAATAGTCTCTATTATGCTGGATCTTTAGACGCTAAATACATTTTCCCAATTACCCTGAGTTCCAATTTTTAAAAATGCGTATTTTAAACACAAATGAGAGGGCCAGACAGTGGCACAGCAGTTAAACATGACACTCGAGAATCTGATCCACAGGGAAAGGTCTAGGTCCGCACCCAAAGGCTTCCCTGAACACGAGCGTGTGCCCAGGGCCTGGGGCCAGCTGAGGCTGGGGGCTGACCATTGTGCCAAGACCCTGTTGGGTGCTGTCTCGTTGACTCTCTGACTCTTGCTCATGGAAGAAATAAATAAATAAACCCTTTTAAAAAAACATACAATGAGCCACTTATAAAATGTTGACAGTTCAGACGTCAAATGATCTATTATTGTTTCAAGAAAACAAAATTGAGGGAAGAAAAATTCTGTGTGTTCATTTTTTCCCTGAGTTATCAAAAGTATAAATATGATGTTGACTGATCACCTCTGAAGTGGTTTCATGGTCCCTGAAGAGTGGAAAAATAAGATACACTGAAGTCTCTCTTGATTTCTAAGCGAGTTATCTTTGCTGTTTGAACTTTCTTCTCAAAAGTGATATGTGTGGAAAACCTGTAAATGTCAGAAATGATGGGGATCGATAATAATGCAAATACTTTTTAAGTAAATGGAGAGTGCTGGCCAATATGAGAAGTGGTGGCTGGACACGTGTGAAGCCAAATAAATAGTCTCTATTATGCTGGATCTTTAGACGCTAAATACATTTTCCCAATTACCCTGAGTTCCAATTTTTAAAAATGCGTATTTTAAACACAAATGAGAGGGCCAGACAGTGGCACAGCAGTTAAACATGACACTCGAGAATCTGATCCACAGGGAAAGGTCTAGGTCCGCACCCAAAGGCTTCCCTGAACACGAGCGTGTGCCCAGGGCCTGGGGCCAGCTGAGGCTGGGGGCTGACCATTGTGCCAAGACCCTGTTGGGTGCTGTCTCGTTGACTCTCTGACTCTTGCTCATGGAAGAAATAAATAAATAAACCCTTTTAAAAAAACATACAATGAGCCACTTATAAAATGTTGACAGTTCAGACGTCAAATGATCTATTATTGTTTCAAGAAAACAAAATTGAGGGAAGAAAAATTCTGTGTGTTCATTTTTTCCCTGAGTTATCAAAAGTATAAATATGATGTTGACTGATCACCTCTGAAGTGGTTTCATGGTCCCTGAAGAGTGGAAAAATAAGATACACTGAAGTCTCTCTTGATTTCTAAAAACAGCAAGCACACATTATAATGAACCCCTTTATACTTAATAGTAGTAGAGATATAGGAGTTTAAATTCTACTGTAAGTAGAAGCCAAATATTAACCTTTATAACACTCCAAATCGACATATTCTATAGGGTACAAAAAGTTTTTTGAGAAAGTCAAGTTGAGAACTAGAATTACTTCACTTTTTCTTCTAGATTGCATATCTATGATTAGTTTTCCAAATTGGAGCACTACCCAAAGACCATTTCATTAAAATTACTTGATTCAGAGGGATGAACATGAGTCAAACTGGATACATCATGTATTCGCTTCAAAGTAACCGGGAAACTGGCCGAATACCTTGTATTCTGGGTGACGGATGGAGCTGTGAATGCACTAACTGAACGAGACACAGAGCAGCGATTTAGGCTGTTGGGTAAAACATTTAGGAGGTCACTGTTTAGGACTAAGCTCCCACTAGGCCTTAAGATTAGATGGAAAGGGAGTCGCTTATGCTACAATGCCCATCATCGAACTGAGACTTTAAGGAGTAGACAGGTTTCCAAACAGACCAGGTTCTTCTGAAAACAGGAGAGTCCAGTCTGTCCAAGTAAGCAATGTATGGAAATAAAACTTTAGGACGTCTTGTGGCTTTCAGGAGGTGTGCACCTGACATAGCTCAAGATGCTGTCCAGGCCCTGGGACTTCATGCCTGACGGACATCTTTGCTGCCCAAATGCGTTCCTCCTGACTTCCGCCATCATGCCCACTCGTGACATCCTTCAAATGTCCCAGTTACAACAGCGCGCCAGGCCCACTGTTTCCACACTTTGCTTAAAGTGACTCCAGGTGACCATGAGGTCATCCTGCCCTCCTCATCACAGGATTCAGCCACTCACTAGTACAAGACGCCTTGCTCCTCTCGGTTCCCATTCTCAACTCGCGCCTCGGAAGCCATCCCGCCATCTGTAAGACCTTGGTGCACGGACCTCACAGTGACTTGACTACTGTGTCCCCAGGAAGTAACGCTTAGCCCTTCCCAAACGAGCTCTGTCTGTGCTCACTCTGCCTCTGCATCTCTCTTGGGTTGCCAAGGCTTACAGGATGTGAAATAAAATATACCTGGGTAAGAGAAATAAATGGTGGTTATTTGTAAGTGGCTGATAGGCTGGACAACCAAAACAAAAGCCCAAAGTTTTACCTTCTGGTTTTCACTTATGACATTCCTCAACCTATCTTTAAATCGTACATTGGTCTGCATTCTCTCAACAGTGAACAGGTTCTCCCAGCATTCGTTACACTCGGGAGACATTCTGGGGGCAGAGCTGCTGCCATCAATGTTCTTGTCTACCTTCTCACATCAGACGGCTGGCTTAATGTCAATGCAAGGGGAAACAGAAGTACATTTAGCTACTGTTCTTTCTTGGGAGGGAGGGTGAATTAACACCACCAGGTGGAAAAACAATTTACCTTAAAAAAATAAAAATAGCCTAGGATATTTCTGAAGTTCTACAGTTACATTTACTTGTTTGCTGATTAAGATTCGAGAGTTCCAAATGCATTTCACCTTCTTCAAATGAAATACTACGTAGCTTAAGCCAGATTGTTTTGTCCTTAATTTCATTTGCAAATTTATTAGTGATAAAAATAGAGACTCATCATAGACAAACAGTTTGCATTTCATTAAAAAATTTAAGGCAAAAAAGAAAATAAATTCCACAAAAGTTGGTTGGAAAACAGTGAAGTGAGAAAGCCCTGGCTCCTGTTCTCCCACAGGGCAGGGTTTAGGTCTGTGGCTGAGGCCTCCAGCCAGGCCAGCTCCACGGCCTGACCTCAGGCCCCGCCCCACACTAGGCCCCGCCCCACACCAGGCCCCGCCCTTCTATACACAGCTACTGCAGCAGCACAAGGCTCTCCGGGATTAAAGCAGATTCCTGGGAATTCAAGGCAAGATTCGTCATGGTAAAAATGGCCCATAAGATAAAAGTAGTTTTTTCTACTTACAGAATCTAAAACTGATTTTAACAAGAGTTAACAGCAAAAATTCAAAGTGAGAACAGTTTGAAAACTAATTTATATTATTCTCAAAAATGTTGTTCTGACTTGATGACTTTAAGTTATTATTTTCCTAAAACTTCTCCAAATATAAATTAAGCTATCGAAGTAGGAAATTGATTCGCCAGGTAGTAATTAATACCTAGCAATTTCTCTTTCAAAAACTTCAAGCAATTTACTACTATCATTGCATAACCCCTTTCTAATAATTCTATATAATTTATGCGTGATAAATTTCATTTAAGAGTCCAAAATATTACAAAGTTATTAAAGGTTTATGTCTCGAATAACACAAAGAACTCTGCTAAGGAGGGAGAAGCATCTGTCAGCAGCATCTCCGTCCATGGCTGGTCCTCCAGGCCACACGGAGTTTTCTTCAGTCCGTCTTCCTTGTCTTCTCTCTCTTAAAAATAAGCTGAAGATATCGGCTCACCGACCTTTAATTATGCTTCTGAAACCCCTTGTCAGCAGCATCTCCCTCCATGGCTGGTCCTCCAGGCCACACGGAGTTTTCTTCAGTCCGTCTTCCTTGTCTTCTCTCTCTTAAAAATAAGCTGAAGATATCGGCTCACCGACCTTTAATTATGCTTCTGAAACCCCTTCTGGATGAGCTCTGACACAGGTGAATAAGCCCTCTCATTTGGCACTCATGGCTGTTCACGGCTTCACGACGTACTGCAGCCATTTGGGGTACTCTAAGAAAACCCTTCAAATACTGAGATGTTTATTGCATTTTTAAAGTATCCGTAACCTTTAATATCCTGTTTCAAATTCCTCCTAAATTTCTTTACAGCACAAAACATCAATATTGAAATAGTGTCTCACAATGTTACACTTGAAAATACCATTTCTAGGAACAATGCTTTAGGAAGTAGAGGGTTTAAGGCAAGACATTCATTTGGAAAAGTTAATCTCTCTGTTATCCAGATCGACATGGTGATTCTCCCTCTCTTCAGTACCTTGGGACACACAGCGTACATTCAGCAAGAGGGCACACGTGTGACCCTGTGGGCACACGCTGAGGTCGTGAGTGCCCACTGAAATATGGAAATATTTTTGTGTAAGGCGTGGCCCCCAGGGACGTGGCATGGGAGGGGCTACCCCACACCATGTCCAATCTGGTGCGCAGGAAACTGCCTATCTAGGACTGCCCTGCTCCCCCAGCTACTCTCCCTTCACATAAACACAAACCCCCTGACAAGGTGCTAAGATTGGTTTCTGTCGACATACAAAAACAGCCCTGGAGGGCCTGCCCCTCACTGTGTCAGTGAGGAATGTCTAGAGGCTACATCTCGGTCCTGACTGCAAACATTGTTTGTTGTGGCAAAGCTGTTCTGTCCCAAAGAATTCTCTATTTCGTCAAACTTTTTGGATCGTGAGAGCTGGGCCTGTTCGTGCGTGCTCCTTCCCCGGGAAGTCCTTCCCACCGGCAGCAGCAGCAACACTAAGACGCTGGCCACGTGAAGACAGTAGTACCAGGAGCTAGGAGGAAGGGGAAACACCATACTTCTTAAATCCCGATGCTTAGTAACCCTCAATGGCATGCCTGTCAGGTACCCCCCCCCCCAATCTATCTACTTACTGCACTGTTTTAGTTTTCACCCGGGGTATGAAACTCTACAGAGCACGCCTAGGGATCTCTGAGGCTTCCTGTGAGCCCGGTGCTAGATATCACACTCCTAAATCCATGACCGGCTAAGGCCACGGCTGAGCAGAGAGCAGAGAGGTACTCTTCCGTATCAGTAGGGGTCTGAAATTCTCTCCAACCACAGACTCGAATACGAGTAAACAAAGACAAGGTAGCGAGAGCGAGCCCTCTTCTCGTCTGGCCTTCCCGACTATTCACTGCTTCTGGACTAGGAGTCTCCTACGGAGGTGAATGAGAGAAGCAAGACTGCTTCTTGACAGTTACTTTGATGAAATAAAAAGTCACATCATTAAAAATATGATTATAAACATTAGCAAAATTAAATGTAAGCCAAATATCAGGGCCAGCACGTGGTGTAGTAGTTAAGGCAACGGACTCCCACACGGCTGAGTGTGGTTCAAGTCCTGGACCCAGTGGCTGGAAAATTACAATGGGCACGTGTGCATGTGTGCTCAAAATTCCAGAAGGATGGAGGAAAAGGGACTGTGGCATGGCCATCCCCTCAGGGGGTAATTTCTCACTTTCCCTCTCACTGTGTATCTCTGCCTTTATCCAGTGAGCACATGTGCCCTATGGCCAACAAAAATTAAAACCAAAACAAAAATATATATAAACCAAATATGACCTGGACTGTTTTGAAGTAATTCTGAACAAAACAACTGGGATGAAAATTTAACCAAAGCTCAATCACATTTTTTTTAAAATGCAATAATTTTGTTAGAATGGAAATTTTAGCAGAAGTTGCTTCACATCTTCCCATATGATTATCATAGTGAACGCAACAACTTTTCTGACCACCTACTCTATGCTAAAATGCTATGGCAATGAAGAATTAATGAAAGAATAGGTATGTTGTCTTAAAGATGTCAACAACTAATACAGAGGATTAGAATTAGGAATTGGAACTTAGCGGGGCAAAGAAAGAAGAAAAACAGAGTGAAAAATGAAGAATTCTAGAGACAATTTCTACTGTAGAGATGACCGTAACAGCAGACGCAGTGAAAGGACACGAACACGCGGGATACAAGAAGTCGACTCCTTTGATGAAAGAAGTTAGGAATGTTAACAGTATTTATTAAAAACAAAAAAAGTGCTTTTCTTCCAAATGGGGCTGGGACAACTAAGCTATGAAGATTTTAGTTAAAGCATCTCCGAGAGAGGTGCTCCCAGCTGGCCACACACCTGCTCGGTCTGGGGAGAATAACAACTGAAAATGCTTTTAGCAGGAGGAAAATGAGGCTAGGCACTAAGTTTCTATTCTACCTCAAAGTAAGAAACTCTCTTTCAA